GTTAAATGAATGGTTTATTTAGTAATATACTGATATTGTTGGAGATGTTCCTCGTATCTGCCAACTAGTGTTAAATGAATGGTTTTAATACAATTGTTATAAAAAAGAGGAGAATCTTAAAATAAATGTCCCGAGAAACCCAACCGCCTCTAGTGGCTAGCCTGTTCATGCTGAATAAAACAAATTAACTTTTTTTTTCAAATGAATATTTCATTATTATAACCATGTGGCGCCATTTTGCAAGAATTAAATAGGACTTATGTATTTTCTTCTGTGTGTGTGTGTGTATCGAAATGCCCCCAGTAACACAGCAGTATGTCTGTGGACTTATTACGCTAGAATCCGGGTTTCGATACCCGTGGTGGGCAGATCACAGATAGCCCATTGTGTAGCTTTGTACTTAATTACAAAAACAAACAAGTATTGATACGTTCTATGTTGAGGTTAAAAAGTAATACATAGCAACAAATACTTTATTAATTGTATACATCTCTTGAATTTTCACGTGTGAAGATTTGCAGGATTCTTTTACTGCGGTTGTACAGATACTGATATATCGTTGGTTTTTTTGTTTTTTTTCCTTGACGTCAGTAATTTAAATAACTACAATAAATGATATATCGTGAAGGTTTCAGCGTAATAAAAAAATGATATGCCTATTTTTATGGCTATGCAAGAGAGTGGGTTAAAAAATCCACAAAGAAAAGAGTTTTAATACGGAAAAATTCTCTTCTGTTTTGTTAATGTGGTTTACCACATCCGGGTACCAAAATGTTGGTTTTTCCAAGTGTTAATCTGAAAGTAAAATGTAATTAAACGTAATCGATGAGTGAATATATTCCGTCTTAAAATCAATCTATCTTAGACTAGTCTTTGATTTTTTGTTGATATGTTGATGTTGAAAGCAACTACTTTGGAGCATGAAACGTTCATGACGAAATTGTATTAAAAAGAAAAAAAACATATCACGTGTTTTTCAACAAACGTGAGCGTTTTACGTTCACCAACAATTTCAAAAATTTTAACTCACGTACACGTTGGCACATGTATAGGATTCAGATACCTGTTTTATAATGCGGGGAACCTTATTCTTGTGCACTTGTAACACACAATCGCATCACAATTCCTCCTTTTTTAAGGGGGGGGTAAAGGAAGTGGCAAGGTGATTTTAATGAGAAATGTTTTCTCGACAATTTTACGCTACTTAAATAGTGTACTATTAACTGATTATCTTAGTACTATCTAGATTATCCCTTAATAAAAGTATATCTACATTCAGAGAGAGAGAAGTACGCCCATCTTTTGTCTTCGTGCCCACGTATGAGTAAACTCGAGTGATATATCTTGCATCTGGTATAAATAAATAGAATATTTTTGTTTTGGTGTGAAACTGTGATCAGTCAGGTTAGAATCCACTTTAACTCAATGACAAGTTATCTGCTGTACCTCTCGTTACAACGGATACTATACGTACTTGTAAAAAAAAATGCACCTGAGAATACCACAGAGTAAACTATCACAGTAAAACTAAAACACCTAAAAACAGTCTGTTCTAAATGAGACCAGAACAAATTTCCTGTAGAATACATGCTTTACTTTAGGATACCTAAAGTACCTAATGGTACCTGATCACACATACCACATATGAGACAGTTATTGTACCAATAACCTCTTGAGGCTATTATTCCATCAATAAACTATTCCATCAGTTATTCCATTAATGATCTCTTCAGACTTTTAAGCCACCAATAACCTCTTGAGGCTGTTATTTCATCAATAACCTCTTGAGGCTATTATTCCATCAATAAACTATTCCATCAGTTATTCCATTAATAATTTCTTGAGGCTTTTAAGCCACCAATAATCTCTTGAGGCTATTATTCCATCAATAAACTATTCCATCAGTTATTCCATTAATAATTTCTTGAGGCTTTTAAGCCACCAATAACCTCTTGAGCCTGTTATTTCATCAATAACCTCTTGAGGCTATTATTCCATCAATAAACTATTCCAACAGTTATTCCATTAATGATCTCTTGAGGCTTTTAAGCCACCAATAACCTCTTGAAGCTATTATTCCATCAATAAACTATTCCATTAGTTATTCCATTAATGATCTCTTGAGGCTTTTAAGCCACCAATAACCTCTTGAGGCTGTTATTTCATCAATAATCACTTGAGGATGTTATTTCATCATTAATCTCTTGAAACTGTTATTCATCAATGGTGTCTTGAGGCTGTTATTCCATCAATAACCTCTTGAGGATGTTGTTCCACCAATAATCTCTTGAGGATGTTATTTCATCATTAATCTCTTGAAACTGTTATTCCATCAATGGTGTCTTGAGGCTGTTATTCCATCAATGGTGTCTTGAGGCTGTTATTCATATCAATAATCTCTTGAAACTGTTATTCATCAATGGTGTCTTGAGTCTGTTATTCCATCAATAATCTCTTGAGGATGTTAGTTCACCAGTAACCTCTTGAGGTTGCTATTTCAAAAGCATTTCGAAGCTATTAGACTTATGTTATCATAAAGGTAGGTTTAAAACCTAACTGTTTTGAAATTTTCCTACAATTTCGCAGCTTTGTGTTAACTTTTCCAAAACGTTTCAAAAGAAAAGGAAAATAGAAATAGAGTGTCTAGAAAATGTGATATCCAAAGTTAATAACCCAAATTAATTCTGATTGAAGGACATTTTTAAATTCAAATTTTAATGGTGATTTTTACCCTTCCTTTTTTATAAAAAAATATTTGACATATTTATGAAGTCGTCGTAAGAAAATTAGAAAAATATTCCAAACCAAGTATAGAAATAGACTTAAAGTTCATCACACACGTCTCGTTGACTCAAGTTACGTAGATAAATATATAGGGGTTTGAAAGGAACAGCTAATTCTCAACAAGAAACTAAAACCCACGGGTTTTTGAGATTAATTTGTTATTGAAAATTCATTAAACGACGAAGATTTACAAGTATTGTGTTAAATGGCTCGTTCTCTTGGACTTTCTAACATCAAATGAACATCACCCTCTTAGTTATGGCGTGTTTATTAAATGTGAAATATTTCAGTTAATTTAGTCGATCACATTAATTCTCAGGGGTCATCTTTACCATCAAAATTTATATTAATATTCCACTTATTCTAATCTATGATATTGATTCTCAGGGGTCATCTTTACCATCAAAATTATATTAATATTCCACTTACTCTAATCTATGATATTGATTCTCAGGGGTCATCTTTACCATCAAAATTTATATTAATATTCCACTTATTCTAATCTATGATATTGATTCTCAGGGGTCATCTTTACCATCAAAATTATATTAATATTCCACTTATTCTAATCTATGATATTGATTCTCAGGGGCCATTATTTTGATTATTTGATAATTTTTTGTTTTTTACTGAGAGTTACATGCTTGACCATTTACCTACTTTTGAATTTACCCCCCCCCCGGTAATTTATGATATTTATCGTCTATTTATTTCGTTTTGGTTAGTCTTGTGAATGATGAACATCATTAAAAACCCGTAAATATAGCTAACTTTCACAAATTCAACTATGCCAAAACAGGTGTTCAGCAGTGTTAGAAGCCTAAATATATTTTAGTGTTTGAGTTAAACTCTCAATAAATCGTGTTAACGCAGAATATCGAGTTTATATAGACCTTATATTTGTATATAGAAATAACTCCTTCCCCTGTATTCGTAGCTTATGTAATCCCATTGCAGGGAAGGTGGAATTTGTAAATTGGCGTATGTATCATTAAGTACGGTAGTACCAAATAATAGGGATCGTGATGAAACAAAATGGCGGCTATAAAAATCGCCCGTTTAAAACCACCTTTAAAATGTCTGAATACTAACAATGACTATTTCACCTTATTGGTTGAACAAAACTAAAGCTTACTGTACTTATAAAGCTGCCTAAATCACTATATACGTGTTTATGGAGTGAATCAAAATTTCACTATTTCAACGAATATTCATTTAAGTATGTAAGTGACTTTTCCAGACAAGCGTACAGAAACAATGACGAACCTTATCGCTCTAACTATTTCACAGAATTCTTCCGTCTGGGGTTCCAAATTATTCCTTTCTTGTACCGAAAAGGATACTAGTATATATTTAAACGGAGGATGCGCTAATTTGGGCACATAATTAGATTTGAGGGTAGGCTGGTAGCGATCCTGATGAGTAATAAAATCGAATCGTGTATACGCGCGCCCCACGCTTGGTATTGTTGGCGCACAAAAATATAGCTAATAAGAAGGAAACAAACAAGTTTAAAAAATATATAAAAATAAGTAGGGATCAATATATCAATAAACTAGCTATTGTAATATAGACAGATTTAATGATGCGAAAAGTATTGAAACAAGAAAATTAAAACTACGAAACTGAGTTACTTAAAATTAAAAAAAAAGTTATTCTTGCTTTGGCTCAGACTAAAATAATTACAGCTAGCTGGGTTACGCATATATCGATCCCTAGTTGTCTTTATAAAATTTAACATTATTTTATTACACCTGTGAATATAGTAGACAAAGAGACCTGAAAAGATGAAGTTAGGTATTGTTACAAGCGTTTGTTTGTTTGAAGTTAAGCACAAAGCTACACAATGGTCTATCTGTGCTCTGCCCACCACGGGTATCGAAACCCGGATTCTAGCGTTGTAAGTCCGCAGACATACCGCTGTGCTACCGGGGGGCTTTTCACAAGCGTTTCCAACAATACTTAAACTCGTATCGACAAAAAAAAAGGGGAATTTGTGTAAGTATAACACACACTTGAATGTCATAGGTTTTATTACGTTTTTTTTTATGGCAGAGATTCTGAGTTGATTGTTCTGAAAAACAAACAAAAAACTAATGTACCACAAATCATGGTTTTATTTTGTTACCTTTGAATGTAAGTTTATTAATACTGTTAATTAGAAAGTTTACGGAAGGTGTTATTGTTTATATTTTAATCAGTCAAACAAAGGCATGTAGTTCTCAACTAAAACAGACTTTTATTCGATTGAAAAAAATCTGGGATCTGAGATTCATCTATTGGGACGTAAAGGGTGGACATTTTATTACATCTGTGTGCATTTATGTTCTTTTTTGTTAACTTCATTATACATCTCAGGGAAACCGTGCTAACATCAGGTTGAAGAAACATCACAACAGCGCTTTGTACAGCTCATCCTGGGAGACAAAACCGTTACCTAAATAATGAAAAAATAATAATTCGTGTAAATATGCTAGTTATTAAATAGTATATTAGGAAATAAATAATGTTGACTGAGTACCTATCTTCCAATAGTAAAATATATTTTTATTAGACATTTCTTTATATATCTTGATAACGTTATAAAAAGTTTTAAATAGAACTACAAATTGTATACGATTGTTTTACTGTATCATAAGTGAAAGTTTCAACTGTACCAAGGACTTTATCATTCCCCAGAAAATAAAGTGTATAATTTATAACTTTCAGAAATATTTTTTTCGACAAATGTTCAAAATATATAAGTTAAAGCTGTGTATCTTCCGCCTAAGTTATTAGTAAACCGTAACTTAAAGCTCCATAACTTAAGTTATTCAAAATACACAACTTAAAGCTCCATGACCTAAGTTATTCAAAATACACAAGTTAAAGCTCCATGACCTAAGTTATTCAAAATACACAACTTAAAGCTCCATGACCTAAGTTATTCAAAATACACAACTTAAAGCTCCATGACTTAAGTTATTCAAAATACACAACTTAAAGTTCCATGACCTAAGTTATTCAAAATACACAACTTAAAGTTCCATGACTTAAGTTATTCAAAATACACAAGTTAAAGCTCCATGACCTAAGTTATTCAAAATACACAACTTAAAGCTCCATGACTTAAGTTATTCAAAATACACAACTTAAAGCTCCATGACCTAAGTTATTCAAAATACACAAGTTAAATCAGTATATCTACCATCTAAATCCACGATCTTCGCCAACAATTTGGCCAGGGTGGGATTTCTGCTAAGCTGATCGGCAAACCAGTCCAGTGGAATTGATCTGAAAATTGAAGCAAACTAAATATTCCACAGAGGATCTGATCGTCAAGTGGAATTAAAGAAAATCAAAAACAAACAAATGAGCTACAAAAATGTGCTGTTGTTCTTTATCATAAACTTTCCTTTAGATTAAGTCTAACGCTACTGTATATTTTACAAGCATATTTACTATATATAATTTTTTGTAACAGATAGGACACTTTGCTGCAAAAGCACTTGTCGTTTCTTGCTGACACGTCTGAATTAAAAAACAAAAACAAAACACTCGACAGACATTAATTGCTGTTTTCGTTTATTCAGGAACTGGAGACGTCCATCTCGTATGCGAAACTTTGAAATGAAAAGATACCAAAACAATTATCAATAACGTTAAAAGAATTGATATTAATTGAAATAGCTAAACAGGGTCGAATGGGCAGAGATTGAACATGATGAAAACTTAAGATTTTACAAACCAACCAGACATCCTTCTATATTATGACGTATGTTTCATGTTAACTTGTTTTAGGAAACAGATACAAGGTATACCAGTAAGCAGACAAGATTTGCGAGATCTTATTCGATGATCCACGAAAAACAAAGGAAAGTTATAACCACGTGCTTTGGATGTTCCATTAAACTGGTAATAGTAATATTTAAAACATATCTTTAAATAAACAGAGGGTAAAAGGGCAGTATGATACCCCCTACCTATTAAAGATCATATTATCAGATTGTTCAGCATAAAGCTTTCAACATAAATCTTGATTTATTGCTAAATATTTTAAAAATACCTGCTGAACTTTTCAATTTTTAAACCATAATTACTTGCTATCAAGGCCTATGTCCTTAAAGTCTTCCAACGTCCGTTTGCCAAATCCTCTTGCAGTCGAAAGACCCGCGTTGCGAAATCCTCTTTCTTGCCGTGAGAGGGAGCCAGTGGGAATAGAATCAGTGGTAATCACCAAAAGACAGGCAATGACGATCACACAGAACCCTCCAGTCATCATCATTCTTCTTCTTCTTTTGTATGTTCTTTGAAATTATACACATAAAAAGAAATACATTTTATAATGTCTTTTGAAATTTAGTAATATAATGCACTTTTACTAGTAGTCTTGATGCTACATGATAAGGTTTAGCAGAAAAAAATCCATACTATTATTTAGGCTTCACTTTATCAGCGTCTACTTCGTAATTGTCTTAATTTCTTGATACCTATTACGTAGTGCATATATCATGATTATACACACTCTCACACACACACACAAATATTCATGATACCAAAAATAAAGAAAACGCTTTATATAAAAAAAAAGGGATGCTGAATCACATGAAAAAAAAACAACCTAGAACTTTCGACAAGTGAACCTGTCTTTACAAGGAGTGAAGGCAACAATAAGATGTTATATAATGGAAATAAATTCATTATTCTATTGACAAATTTTACTTAAAATTGCCTACATTATAAACTATTTTCTACCAAGCCTTTACATTGGAAGTATGATTGTTTTAAACAGATTGTTTTAAGTATGATTGTTTAAAGTATGCTTGTTTTAAGTATGATTGTTTTAAGTAGATTGTTTTAAGTATGATTGTTTTAAGTATATTGTTTTAGGTATGATTGTTTTAAGTAGAATGTGCTAAGTATGATTGTTTTAAGTATATTGTTTTAGGTATGATTGTTTTAAGTAGAATGTGCTAAGTATGATTGTTTTAAGTATGATTGTTTTAAGTATATTGTTTTAGGTATGATTGTTTTAAGTAGAATGTGCTAGGTATGATTGTTCTAGGTATGATTGTTTTAAGTAGAATGTGCTAAGTATGATTGTTTTAAGTATGATTGTTTTAAGTAGAATGTTTTAATAGATTGTTTTAAGTAGAATGTTTTAATAGATTGTTTTAAGTATATTGGTTTAGGTATGATTGTTTTAAGTAGAATGTGCTAAGTATGATTGTTTTAAGTATATTGGTTTAGGTATGATTGTTTTAAGTAGAATGTGCTAAGTATGATTGTCTTAAGTAGAATGTGCTAAGTATGATTGTTTTAAGTAGAATGTTTTAATAGATTGTTTTAAGTAGATTGTTTTAAGTAGATTGTTTTAATAGATTGTTTTAAGTATGATTGTTTTAAGTATGATTGTTTTATTAGATTGTTTTAATAGATTGTTTTAAGTATGATTGTTTTAATAGATTGTTTTAAGTAGAATGTGTTAAGTATGATTGTTTTAAGTATGATTGTTTTAAGTAGATTGTTTTAAGTATGATTGTTTTAAGTAGATTGTTTTAATAGATTGTTTTAATAGATTGTTTTAATAGATTGTTTTAATAGATTGTTTTAAGTATGATTGTTTTAATAGATTGTTTTAAGTATGATTGTTTTAATAGATTGTTTTAAGTATGATTGTTTTAATAGATTGTTTTAAGTATGATTGTTTTAAGTAGATTGTTTTAAGTATGATTGTTTTTCATACTTAAAAGAATCTACTTAAAACAATCATACTTAAAACAATTTACTTAAAACAATTATACTTAAAACAATCATACTTAAAAGAATCTACTTAAAACAATCTACTTAAAACAATTTACTTAAAACAATTATACTTAAAACAATCATACTTAAAACAATCAATTACTTAAAACAATCATACTTAAAACAATCATACTTAAAGCAATCTATTAAAACAATCATACTTAAAAAATCTACTTAAAACAATCATACTTAAAACAATCTATTTAAAACAACCATACTTGTTTTAAGTATGATTGTTTTAAGTAGATTGTTTTAAGTATGATTGTTTTAAGTATATTGTTTTAAGTATGATTGTTTTAAGTAGATTCTTTTAAGTATGATTGTTTTAAGTAGATTGTTTAGTATGATTGTTTTAAGTATGATTGTTTTAAGTATAATTGTTTTAAGTATGATTGTTTTAAGTATGATTGTTTTAAGCAATGTACAATTATGATGCCTCTGGTAGATCAAAGGTAAGTTTGATGATTTATAAACGCTAAAAACCAGGGTTCGATATTCGCAATGGGCACGGAGAAGATATCTCATTGCGTTGCTTTGCGCTGAAAAAAACAAACAAAATAATTTATGGTTCCATATCCTTATCATAAAAAATGTCTTTTATGATACCGTATTCTTAGCATAGAATGTGTCTTTTTCCGTTTTGAAAGGTAGTATGTTACTGGCTTAAGGAATTTCACATGTATTAAATAAGGGAACAGCAAGCCTCCTTCAGAACCGAATGCTATTGAAATGAAAAATAGTAGCCGATTAGAATATATAACAGAATTACTGCATGCGCATCAGAATTACATATACAGGAAGTTACCATAGAAACTGTAGATTCTTAAAACACATTTAGGAAAAGAAGCTTATATTTCCAAGTTTTATAACATGTGATAAGAAAACTGTATTATATAGCATTAGAAAGGCCTAAGAATCATTTCAATCATCATATAAATAGTTTGTGTTCCATATTCAAAGAAATGGTAGCATTTCACAAAAAGAAAGTATTTGAAGGACAATCGAGTTAAGTAAACATAGAACCTTGAACTTATGTTATTGAATACTTAATAAATAATTATTATTTTTTGTTTTTGCTTTCGTTCGTTTTACTTCGTAATCGTAAAATGTATTAAGACTTATTTATTACTAGCTGGAGTACCTGTCGTCCCCTAGAAGGAAGTTATGTAGATTCACGATTAATGAAAGGTTATCTTAGGACATGAAAAGCTGCTTCCCTTATATGTAGTTATGGAAAACGCTAAAACACCAATAAAAACCGCAAAATGTAAAACAGAAAATTTGTATGTACCCCCGCATAAATCTAATGAACCTTCATACCAATTTTGGGATTAAGAGAGGGGAGAAAGCGTCCGGCTATTGGTCAGTCACTAAGGGATTAGGAAATTACAGTACTCCAAGTTGTTAAAAACGGTCCAGCATGGCCAGATGGCTAGGGCTCATGACTTGCGATCTGAGGGTCGCGGGATTGAATCCCCGACCCACCAAACATACTCGCCCTGGGGGCGTTATGATTCAACGGTCAATCCCACTATTCGTTGGTAAAAGAATAGCCCAAGAGTTGGCGGTGGGTGGTGATGACTAGCTGCCTTCCCTTTAGTCTTTCACTGTTAAATTAGAGATGGCTAGCGCAGATAGCCCTCGTGTAGCTTTGCGCGAAATTTAACACAACACAAACACACAAAGTTGTTAAACAATTATTATAAAGAGCTGATGCCTTTCTTGTTTAGCCACTGTGGAGATTACAAAACCTTCTGTGATTATAAGTCGTTGTAATCCGATATAAGGGAAATAGGTGTGTAATTATAAATAGTACATTGTGTAATACTTCGTAGTTAAACTAAATACATTATCCGGAACTTATATTGGTGTACAACATTAGGAACAAGCACAACTTATGTTTTTATAGTGTGTTTATGACTGCCCCAAAACATTTGACATGAGATTAAAAATGTTGGTGTGTGTGTGTGACTGCTCCAAAACATTAGACACGATATTAGAAATGCTAGTGTGTGTGTGTGACTGCTCCAAAACATTTGACATGAGATTAGAAATGCTGGTGTGTGTGTGACTGCCCCAAAACATTAGAAACAATATTAGAAATCCTAGTGTGTTTCTGACTGCCCCAAAACATTTGACATGAGATTAGAAATGCTAGTGTGTTTATGACTGCCCCAAAACATTAGACACCATATTAGAAATGCTAGTGTGTGTGTGACTACCCCAAAACATTAGACACAATATTAGAAATCCTAGTGTGTTTCTGACTGCCCCAAAACATTTGACATGAGATTAGAAATGCTAGTGTGTTTATGACTGCCCCAAAACATTTGACATGAGATTAGAAATGCTAGTGTGTTTATGACTGCTCCAAAACATTTGACATGATATTAGAAATGTTAGTGTGTGACTGCCCCGAAACATCTGACATGATTTTAGAAATGGCATCGTCTGAACGTTTCAAGTTTTCGGATTATTTTTATTAAGAGGTACTTGTATTCTGTTAACTTGCATTTTAATATAGAAATTATCTTTATTTACGAACGTAAAGCACTTGTAAAATTTTAGAGTACTGGGTAAACTGGAATGAAAACATGTTTTGTTTTAAATAATTTGAAATTGCTGAAAAAAAATGGTTTATTTCCATTCGGTTAAAAAACGTTGGTTTTTTTTAGGTGATGTTCATCAAACACATAAATGTCTTAGCTGATGTTTGGAATGTACATACATACAACAGAGGAAAATCACTATTTGTTTTGATAACAGTTTCAAATATCATGGCTGCATTTCAGGAAGACTTATGAATAATACTATTGGCCAATCTTAAAATAGAATTGTTCAAAATTCATCATGTACGTGAAGGTTGACCTCGGGTAGAATTATCACGGACACACGTCGAGGAGTCCAGTGTGATCCTAACCACTAGTAGATAGGGAAACGTCTCCATGGTAACTCCACAAAACTTTATCTGTTAGATGTTCATCAGAACCCGAAATGCTTTCGACTGTCGTTCGTTTCGTCACTTGCCTAAATTTATGTCTTTTTCCTTGTTCAGGGTGTCAAGTGTTCCAAGCTTTAGCTAACGAACCGTTAATTTCAATCCATAACCAACACAGTTCATTAAGTAAAGAAGCAGAATGCCTGTCTGTCGTGCAGATAAATTTACACAAAATCAGTGTTTAACATTATATTTATGTCAAAATAATAACTATATCAATAACCTTTAAGGACAGCACGTTGACATCTTTACATCATAAAAAGAACGAACATGATATATTTGTAGACTGATTGCACATGCGCAGACTACGTTGGACAAAACTTAAAACAATAAATTATCTTTCTAGTATGATAAAAATTACACGTTTTTTCATGATTTACTAGTCTAACGATAAGAAAATCTCATTGCGATCAAGAGTAAATATTTTAAGTGATATACAAACAACTTGGGTCTGTGAAACAACGTGTATTTTAATTATGAAATTCTCTTGTGTAACTCATGTAA